TGTTGAAGATACAGTGTTAGTTGATGTAACTTTAGGTGTAGAATGAGAACAGCTGATCGGAGTCAATCCAATGTTATCATAACCATTTATGAATCTTTTATCCGTTTCCCTGTTCGTTAATTCAACAGACTTCACAAACATATTTGATTGTTTATTCGTCTTGACTGTTTGAAGGTAAGAATGGTTTAACACAGAAAAAGAAATTAAATTTTTGTTTGATTTTCATTAAGATATAAAAATGTATTCTTACCTGACGATGGTTTTGATTGTTTGTTTAATGTAACTGTAGTTACTTGAGTTGAACAAGGCAACACTGAAGTTGTCGATCGCTTTAAATTGATTTGATTCACCATTGGAGCCAATTTAGTGTTGATCACTTTGGGTTTAATGAAACGTTTAGTGTCTGAAGATTTAATGGAACTAGAAACTGAATGCATCGCTTGTTTTTCCCTTTCATTCATCAATTGACTTCTTTCGAGTTGATTCTTGTCAATATTTTGTGACGATAGACTCGGAGAGTTTCGAGTTGGTGCAACAGTTGATGTTGAGGACGAAACTGGATTCATGGGTGAAGTGGCACATGTAATAACTGATGAAGATTGCACTGCAACTGATTTCAAAGTTGTGTTATCATTTTTAACATCATTTTTGGCGTTTCCATTATTAGGTGTATTTGTTGAAGCTGTAGAGGTAGTTGTTGTTGTTTTCATGTGAAAATTGAGAGAAGACGCTATTCAGGAAAGGGAAGAAAGGAACAAAAGAATGGAAAGAAGAGAAAAAAAGTTTTGTAAAGTTGAATCTGAATTGTAGTGATAGTGGTTGGAACATGTTTTTAAATTTGAAAAAAGAGCATTTCATTATAATAATTACCTGATGTTGATGTTGATGTTTTTGTTGATGATGAAGATGAAGATGATGTAAGTGATGTCGAGCTTGGTGATGCTAATGAATGATTATGCATTGACTTTTTGATCGCATTAATTTGACTCTTTGAAGTTGTTGTTGTTTGATTATTTTTGTGAACTGCAAAGTTGTTCAATTTGAAATGTAAAGGAATTGGTTGTTGCTATTTAATGGAAGAAAAGAAGTGGACATCGAAACATGAATAATAATAATAATTCAAAGGTGCGAAGAGAAGAGAATTAGCAAAAGAAAGAAAAGTTTCTCGATGAAAAACATGTGATTGAATGAAACTTACCGTTGAATAAATGTAAACAATATCCAGTAATTGCAGGTCATCATCAAGTATCTTATCATCAAACATTATATCCACTTTGAAACAAGAAGAAAGTTCATATTTTAAACAAATGAACTTCTTTAATGATCCAATTGGGAATCCTGCTGGACACAAAAGGTATCGATGTTCATCACTTGATGTTGTCGAAGTTGAGTTTGATGTCGATGTTTTACTCGATCCAATCGTCTTCTTACTTTTATCATTAGAGTATTTTGAATACATAAGAACCACACTTATCTTTTCATCCAATTGGTAATAAACTTTCTGTTCATCAAAATAATCACAAGGAGAGTCATTTGATTTGGAATGAAACTCTTTTCTCAACTTCATCTCTGATCTGAACAATCCTGGAATAAGTTTGTAGATTAATGACTGAAGCATGGAATCCATCCGAAGTGTTTCCCATTTACTTGTTTCACTGAATTTTAATCCACACTTTGGGCAATCATGATTACAATTGAAATGCTTCACAATACAAGATCGGCAAAATGAATGTAAACATTCGTTAATCGTTGTTGCATTAATGATGTAACCTCCACAAAGTTGACATTTGAAGGAGTCGCTTAAGGAAGAGAGTTTTGTCTTGATAGTTGAATGAATATTGTTGACTATTTTTGTTGATGGCAAAGGAGAAGCTGAATTAACTGAAGTTTCCATCTTTCAGGTACGATGTAGCAGAACCAAATGAAAAGAAGAAGCAAATGGAAACAAGAAGAGGGAAAAGCAAAAGAGAGTTAAAAAGGGGGAAAAATAGAGTATGCGCAGAGATTCGAAAACAATCAGTCAATGTAAAGTTGTGATTAAGCAGAATCTAGTGAGAATAGGTAATTAAATATGCAATTAAAGACATAAATTGTGACAAGAATGAATCTGAATGAGTCCATGAAGGTAAAACAATTGGTTAAATGAAATAAAACTTCAATCAAATGATAAGAAAACAATCAAAATGGCGTTGAGGAAATGTTACAACAAAAGATGGCGTTAGAAGCGAGTTGTTGAGGGAAATTGTTTACAGTTGGAAGAGAAGAAAATGAAGAGAAAAGGCAAAAGAGCGAGAAAAAGCGGAGAGAAGAGATCAATGAAAGATAGAGAAGAAGAGGAAAGAAAAGGTTTTTTTCGATCATCATCTCTTCATCATCTTTCGCTTCTCTCATTGGTCCATTGCTCCCTACTGCTCTCTCTCGCTGTAAGTTTTTATATCTTTCACAATCCTCTTCACTAAAACTTGTCTTTCTCTCTCTTTCTCTTCTATCTTCTTTGCTCCCTTTCACTCATTCATTTATTGTTCTCTCACAGTTAATGCAATGATGATGATGATGATGAAAAAGGTTCAAGATAAAAAAGGAAATGAGCACAAAAAGTGAGAGAGATTGAGGTTAGTTGTTTGTGTTGAAGAGACAGTAAAGATGGAGGTTAACTGAGTGAGTAGAAGGGAGAAGGCAAAGAGAGAAAAGAGAGAAAAGAAAGAGAAGATGAAATGTCAGCTTCAACACACGCATTTATACACAAGATTATAATGATGATGGAAGGGAAGTAAATGTTGTTGCTTAGCAACCAAGGTTCGTGTTGAGAAAAGAAGACAGAGAATGCGAAAGAGAAATATCTAAATCTTTCTTTCTTCAACATCCAATTTTATCCTATTTCATTGGAGTGAGCAGTCTCAACCTTTTTTAGGCCATTTTCATTTTCAGTAAAGATGGAGGTTAACGGAGAGCGGACAGGATCTCGTTGCTTAGCAACACAAGTTCGTGTCAAGTTAAAGTAGACAGAGACTTCGAAAGAGGAAAATCTAAATCTTTCTTTTTTGTTCATTCAATTCATAACCTACTTCAGATTAAATTGCGCATTCGCAACTTTTGGTTTAAAGTTACATTAAAGCTCATTTGTTTGAGACAGTGAAAGCGATTGAATGAGACTCAAAGCTTTTGTTCAAAAATCATTAAACCCTTTCTTTATTGAAAAAAACTTGAGACAATGACAGAGAATGGAAAAGGTTGAGCAAATGAATGAAACATTTTTTGTTCATGATTCAGTTGTCAGTTATTTTACTATTCACAAAGTTGAATAAATTTAGTCGAGGTTCAACCTTTAAATGAGCGTCGATAATTAATTTTTAAACTTGTACTTTTCAATTTTAACAAAATTGCTCCTAAATAATGAATGTTATGAAGATATGGATTCAGTTAGCAACAAGGTTCGGTTGAAAAGCCTCTTCGCAGAAAATAAAAATACATGATTCCTTATGAAAAACCTTTGACCTGTTCACCTTCAATGTTATTAATTGCTTTACCATTGACATTGACATTAAGGTTAACATCAGATGAAACATTATTTGCTTGATGAAAATGTTGCATGAAAGCTTCACTTAAGAGCTTCAAAAGCTTGGAATACTTCAAATAATTAATGTGAAATGTCGACTCATGATATGGTCCAGATGCATGTCCTGAGCTTCCAGTAGCAATAGGAACTAGAACTGAAGATGGATTGGCAAAATTTAAATGATGAAAGTGTTGGAATGGACCTGAAGGTATTGCAAGTCCTCCTCCTGATTTGTTCATATTTCGAGGATTACGAAGGTCAACAGGCATTGTTTCTTTTGCATTCGAACCATGTATATCGCGTTGGTCATCTTTCGCTAAATAATTAACGGATTCAGGTTCAGCAGTTAATTGTTTCCTCCGATGTCGATTAAGAGTAGATTTCAATGTTTCGAATTTCGGAAGCACAGAAACATCATTATCTTGAATCAAATCCAAGGTTCTTTGTCTTCTTACCTGCTCATTAAGATCAATTAAATTTAATTCAATTAACAACAACAATAATAATAATATAATATTATGAATAATACTGACCTCATCGAAAATAGTTTTTGATGATATTGATGGAGATTCCTTAAGTTTGGACAACATTTGTATTTTCAATCTGATTTTTTCAATTTTTTCACGATGAACACCATGATTATGATCATTATTACACCTAAGCAAATTATAAGTATAATCAGTTTGAGCTGCAACAGCACATTGAGACTCAGAACACCTCCAATAGATCACATAACTATTTTTATTTTTGTAGTTGAACAGAAAATCATTGAGAACAAGTAACTTGCCACCTCTTTGGGACTGTAAAACTTCCATCATGCTAAGAAATAGATGAATGAATTGAGTTCGTATTTTTCCTGATTATATATTTCAAAAAAATCAATGTGTTCGCAAGATGTTTTCGGAAAAAACAAAAGCATTTACTGACCCTTCCACTAATCCGTGTTAATCTTAATCTTTTTTTCCAAAATTAGCGAGTTACTGAGAATGGATTTGAAAGCTCTCAATTTGCGACATGACTCTACACCGAGTCTATTTCCTGAAGTGACAAGACTCAGAGAGTAACTTAACAGTGTTTCTGTCGTCTCAGGTGAAGTTAACTATGCGAGGTTAACTGTAAATGGATCTCTCAATAACTAAAGATATCAAATAATTGAAATTAATATTTAATCATCTACTCTCGATTTGATACAAGTTGATTCACATTACAGTAAAACTCGTTTGTTTGAGACAGTAAGAGTGAAACAGAGAGTCAAACCCTTTTACAACTCAAAAGAAAGATCAGTTCTTGCCACTAATTTTTGGCAAGTAAATTATCAATTTATTCAAGTCATTCGTGTACAGCAATCAAGATAATCAATAAGGTCAATTTCATCATTTTGATAGCTTGTTGTATCAATTCGATAATTGTTATTTAATTGTACATATTTTAGCTTTTTTTGATGAATTTTTTGGTTATTTTTTGCCTGTAATAGGTCAATCCTGTATGACATTTCCATCTCTTTTAGTTGGTCAATTAAGGCACACAAATCAGGGTTAGCTCGTCGAAAAAAAATGTTCAATTTATGATGAAAACCCTCTAAATGATTGATAGTACGAGTCTTGAAGTTAGCAAAATGGTTCCAAATCTTTCTATCAAATCGAGCATCACTGTTTATCCATGTTTCTTCCATGTAATCTATGAATTTAATTATCTTTTCATCATCATCATCATTATTATCATTACTATTATTAAAATTATCATTGATTAGATACCAACATGCATCTATGTCATCTATTTGCATTAAAGGTAAAGCTACGCATCTTTTAAAAAAGATGCGGAAATCATCATCATCTTCATATTTTTTCTTTAATCCCAATGTATTTATTTTTCTCAAAAGACATTGCGAATAATGAAAATAACAACCGTGAATTTCAATATTAGGGTAAAATACTTTAAATGATTGAATTATTGCTGATTCGAAGTCACAGTAAAGGTGTTCAGGTTCAAAATTTATCCCATTCGAGTTAGCAATATGATCAATTATTCGCAGCATTTTCATGTATGTTATTAATTCCTTGTTAGGTAATAAGATGTAAAGAGAGGGAAACATATCTCCATTAACTAAATAGTGAAAAGTAAATAATTGATAAAATTGCCTAGGAGCTGAATAAAAAGTACCATCAACATATACACTATCAGCATTACTCATATCTCTCAAACTATCAATTGTTCCAAACACTAAGATCTTTTTTTGAATACTTATATCATTTAGTAAAAAAGGTTTATCATCAATAGTTTTTTTATAAAGCGAAGGTAAATCAATTGCATTTGAATCAGCAGGATCTTTAGGTTTGGTTGCTTGTAATTTTTTATATAAACAGGGTGAAGATGAATAAAAATTAGGCAAATTTTCAATTGATTTACCTTCATTGATATATTTTACAGCCATTTCATTTCTCTTCTAATAATTATGATGATGATAAAAAGCAAAAATAATGATGAAAAAGATGATAATAATGATGAGGATAAAGAGAGATAGAAAGAGAAGTAGAAAAAGTATTAATTGAAAAGCTGAACACAAGTGATGATAATAATAACTTACTTTATCAAATGTGTCTCTAACACTTTGTGTTGGTGAAGAAACAACAGCCTCAATCAATTCATTTCTATTTCTGATTGATTCAATTTTTGAGATATGGTTGGGGTGATTATGTTGTCCTGGCAATTTAAACATATATTCACCTTCAGTATTAATTGTAACACCACAATTTTGTTGACTACATCGCCAGTACTTTTTATCTTGACTCTGTTTTTTCAGATTATACAAAAAATCATCAAAAATAAAATTTTGACGACCTCTGATTGTCTTGATGAATTCCATTGTAACAAAACTAAGAAACTGAACTGAAGGAATACTGAACTAAAATGAAGCCTTTTCTCTAGATCTGAATGAAGTCTTTTAGATATTTAAATTAAATTCATGTGAAAACCATATGAAATCAATTGTTTTTAATTCTAATCATATGTTTTTAGGATTAGATTTTTCTTGAAAATTGGACTCCAAAAATTGGGTTAAAGTATGGACAATTGACACTTTCTTCTCAACTCTAATCCTTTAAAAGAGTTGTTAAAAGCTTAACTGTGGCGAGTTTACAGGGAACCTTCACATTACAGTAAAACTCGTTTGTTTGAGACAGTAAGAGTGGACGAGTGAGACACTTGAGCGATTGAATGCGACACTTGTTTTTGTTCAAAAGCCATAAAACTCTTTGTTTACTAAGAATATTTTGAGACACTGAGAGCGAAAAGTCCAAAAAAACCTTTCTATGGATATTGATAATTAATTATAGTTAATTAACTCCGATCGAGTCAAAAAATGGCCTACATGCACCTACATCGATGCTCTTGTGTCCTTGGAATTATTGAGTCAATTGATTGAGTCAAACTTATTCAAAATTGAAACAGCAGTCAGTGGTAAAAAAACAAAAGTACTTTTTGACGCCCCTAATAAATCTGATCATTTAAGTAGTTTTATTTCATTTAAGCAGCTTTGTATTTGGCTGTTCGGACTTTGGCTGTTTTGGGTCTTTACCGAATGAGACCTAGAGCTAATTCCTTACTGAATCCATATCTTCATATTTTGTTCATTTTTAGGAAAAATTTTTCAACTTCTTCATTGATTTTCAGCGTTTGAAATCATGCGAAAATTTCTCCTAAAAAATCTAATGTCTCACTCATTCACTCTTAATGTCTCAACAAACGAGCTTTGCTGTATTAGATAGACTATTGAACGAGTTAAAGGTAAAGAACAATGAGAACGCCATTATCGAGTTTCCTCATCAATTTAACCGGATCAAAAAAGAGAACAAAGTTTTTTGACTTACATTTCTAGATAAATAATTTTTGGAATTGATTTTGTAAAAATTAAGATAGACAAAGGCTCATATGGACGAGATCAGTTACTTACGAGTTAGTTGTTAGTTAAATGATCGATTAGTTATTATACGAGATTAGGGATATGTTCAAAGACGCTTGTCAAGTGCAAAGAAAAATTTTTCCTTAAAAAGATGTTTTCACGATTTTACAGTTCGATGAAAAGACTGTAACTTGATGAATATATTAATATGGGAAAATGTTGTCTTTTGCTTGATTACAGCTGATAATATTTTAATCAAAAAAAAGGTCACAAGGATTAAGATACAACTTTTGTTTCAAACATTTCGTTCAATCCAAAAGCATCGAACAATGAACAAAACGC